AAATGTATTGTGAAATGCAGTGCAATTAGTGAACAAATGCAGTGGGTGCAAAAAGTATCCGACACACGAGAAAAACTTATTATTTAATTTATGCTTATTCAACACAATAACAGAAACAAACACCATTCTAATGTAAATTTATGCGGGAAATACAAATGTCATATGCAAACAACAAGATCGTTAAATGTTCACTGATAATTGCTATTATGTAAAAGTCGAGGTTCAGAAAGTATCCAACACACAGTAAACAATTTATTCAATAATTCGTTATGTGACCTTTAGCAGCCAAAACTGCTTTTAATCTATTGGAATACTTCTCAAGATTAATACATATGCTAATGTAATTTTAGCCAACTCTTCCTTGCATATTTCTTTAAATTAGATAAGAATTCATGGATCTCTCTCTCCTGTACCCTCAATTTCAATTCCCGCCATAGATTTTCAATCGGATGGAGGTCAGGTGATTGGCTGGGCCATTCCAATAACTCCATGTCCTTCTCCTGAAACCATGCAAGAGTTGCCCTATAGCCGTGTGTTTAGGGTCATTGTCATGTTGGAATGGGCCTATAAGCGAGAAAAGCGAGAAATGCGGTTAACCTGGTAGGTTATTACGGGTAGGTTTAAGTCTTGCATTACGCCCAGTTGATACTGGTCCCAATAACATATTGGTGCTGTGGGGTAATCATTACCATGCACTGGTCAAGATAGAAAATCTATTGTAGATTGCGTTGCGAACAGGCCTGACCTATACAAGCACGGCAGCAGGCTTTCAAGGAGCAAGTTATGGATCCATTTAACCCATAAGATTTTTCTGGACCAAAAAGGTACTATGAGTTATCAAGAAACAGCATTTATTGTAAAGGGAAAATGCGGCAATAGTCAAACCTTTTCATCGTTCTATCCAATCAAAGTGAATCTTTTGAGACCCCATTGCTAAATCAGCGTAGGAAATTCTAAATAAATAATATTAATATAAGAAAATAGAGCAAGTTGACTAAATACTTGACGTAACTTATTACAGGCGTGTCTATTTGCCGTTTCTTCCCACGTTTATCACTATGTCACACAATGAGAAGTAGACACACAGGTGGATTTTCATTTGTCGGCAAAAATTATAATTGAGATGACTCATTCATTGCTCGAAAAATTTCGGATGCCGATCCGTTGCAGAGCAGGAACCGTTATGGGTGAAGGAGTTCGAATATAGTACCCCTACCGTGGCAAGGTTTGTCCAACGATCTCTCTTAATATCTAAGAAGTGCAGTCCCAAATGGTGCCGAATGAATATTAATTCAACACGAATGATTCATGCAAAAATGATTAAGCCATCAAAGGCACTTCAGCATTGCTCCACAACAGTATTTATTCCATTTCCTCGTACAGCAAATCATGACGATTCATCTCTTATCACCGGCATATCTCTATCGTTGCTCGTCAAGCCTTCACGTACGTTAAGGATTATTCAGCAAAGCGTGGCAAAGGAGACAGATATGAATCACGTCAATGAGCTTGTCACCTTTGTCTCTCGTCCGGTGCCATCTGTCGTCGTCTCTAGGCTGTCTGCTCTACTCTCACCTTTTTCGGACTGTAAATGCTGCGAACATCATCGCCATACAGGTGCAGAACGCCATAAAAATCAAAATGCATCATCTAAAAATAATAATTATGAATCAAGAGTTTGCTATGAATTAATAATCTTGCTAATTACACACGAAGAAAAAATTCCAATAATTATGTCTTAAATATTCTTCCAAATAGATTTTTTAATTAATAATCATAACAACCATGCATCAACTCTACAAAGTGATTTCATTACAGTGTCATGATCTCTTTATGTTTTTCATCATTGATTTTGCCAAGTGCTGGCAGGGGGCTATATCTTTCATTCTTGTGCCTATATAAGAAAAGCAGATGTGTGTTGTTTATTCAGCGTTTCATTGACGGATGATTGCGATTGACGGAAGAGTGTTTATACCTGTATATAATGAATTTTGGCTTAAATCCGACCAGGCTTGTGATTGGTTCGACTGTGAGGTATTCACACAATCGACAGGTAGTTAATTAAAGAAATGATAGAGGAAGCTTTTATTTAATTTCTTCAACACAGTTTTGAGTTTGATTTGACTAGAATTTTCTTCCTTGTAATGCAGACAAAGTTTGATGGTAAAGAGCCGAATCACAAAATTCAGAATGCGGTTCAGAAGTTGAAGGTGGATGGTTGAAAGAACACGTGACGAATTCGTGACGCAGAAATAAAGTAAAGCCGGCCAGTCTCAGGATCGTATTAATGTATACTGTAGAAGAAATAAATAAAAATTATCAACCTTGAAAAATGGCCATGTAAGCAAATTACAGCCAAATATAAATGATCAAAATGTCATTCATTTGTACAGAAAAAAACGCACAACAAACCTGAGGTTTAAATGCCCAGTGTGGTGATCACTTTTTGAATTAAGAATAATTGCAGGAAAATAGCGGAAATAAGTTTAAGGGGTGGGAAGTTGGACGAGAAAAATAGCTAGAACAGTAGAAGGTTTTGATGCTTGAGAAATTTGAGATAAAGACTTAAGACTAAGATTTAAACAGTGTTACAGTGATCTTTGCAAGTGACGTCATAAAGAAACGCCCTTCTAGAGCAAAGACTACTAAAAAAGTTTGAATATGTTGATTTGAATAAATCATGAATAAATTAACATCATGAACATTTGAATTTGAATTAATCTGAATTGTAACACTTAAAGTAAGTCCAACTTCCCAACAGATTGAATAAATGAATTTAATAGAGCAAAAAAATAAACAAAATGAAATTCAAACGACATTCATACAAACCAAGGGATAGAGAAACAGGTAGAAAGCAAGATGGTAGAAATACTTGAATGTTGAAGCAGGTAAGTTGACAATCGGTACGGTTGAATGGGTGAAATATTAAGTGGCAATCGGCAATGATAACTGCAGAAATATCAATCTTTTTGTATCTAGATGAGAATATCGAGATTTGAACACAGATTTTGTCACTGGCGGCACGTATAATTTTGATACAATCTATAACAGATGCTGATGAGGACTGTTAAGGTCAGCGGCAGAACCCCTGATTTAGACTAATACTTATTCTTCGGCTGAAGTTAGAGAATCGTATTCTAGAAGCAAGATAATTCGGTTAATAATAAATCTTATAAACAAACCCTAGCATATATACTAACTAACGGTGAGAAATTAGGAATCTCTCACATGACGTCATATAATGATAATGTGGCACGTAGCGCGATGCTTCCGTTGCTTCGGCAGAAGCTGAAGTATAGGTGCGCATGTTTTTAATTATTATAGTAGGGTAACATGGGGCAGCGAGCCCACTGCGGGTCACGGGCCCATAGCGGGTTTCTCGCTAAGTATGGCAGATATTGGTCCGTGTTCTCTACCGCCGGTCGACAGTTTCACTGGGATGTTTTTATCATTTTTAAACGAAAAATATGCAATTGTGGTAAAGGGACCAAGGGTGGGCGCCTTGCCCCAAGCCCATGGGCCCATTGCCCCAGGGGTGGGGCAATGGGCCCATTTTGACACTTTTCACAAAATATTGTTTCATTAAAAATTGAATAACTCTATAGGCGTCTAATTCACATCATACATTCCTTATTAGTTGCACCTTTGCACAAAACAAAGAACCACCTCGTATCAATTAAAACTTCAGCAAAAATTTAGTTTAAAAAAAGTGGGGGGCGCGCTGCCCCACGTTACCCTATATGTGAAGTATAGGTGCGTTTGTTTTTAACTAATATAGTATATGTGAAGTATAGGTGCGTTTGTCTTTAAATAAATAAATGGTCTGTAACCATTCATAGCAACTTTGCATTCCGAAAAACTTGCGTTCTCGAGTTTTGAATAGCTGAATGTAGAGTGTGACTCGATTGTAGCTCATGAGTTCATTCCCGGACGTGCAGACTCTATAGCGCCTTAGGTTGACAGACTCTTAGCGCATGGTTGATGATAGCGCATGGTTGATGATAGCGCATGGTTGATGATAGCGCATGGTTGATGATAGTGCATGGTTGATGATAGCGCATGGTTGATGATAGCGCATGGTTGATGATAGCGCATGGTCGATGATAGCGCACGGTTGATGATAGCGCATGGTTGATGATAGCGAATGTTTGATTATAGCGCATGGTTGATGATAGTGCATGGTTGAGTATAGCGTGTGGTTGATGATGTTTGTATTGAATAAATCATTTTGAAAAATTAAAAATTTTCAATTTTGAAAATAAAATTCAAAAATTATTTTTTTTAATATTTGATAATAAAATTAGAAATTCATTGCACATGTGTAACATCGGAGATACTGGATTCTTTAGAAGTGTTGTCTTTAAAAAGTAATTTTTAAACGTATATTATTGAAGTAAGTGAGTTTAAAGACAAAATCAAATTTGTTCGTCTTAAATAACATTACATTAGTGAACGACTTGTCAATGAAACACGTCTACCTGAGGTCTGCGCTCACATGTCTACAGAAGGACGGAAATAAAATTATTGAGTAAAACTCATGTTTAAATTGTTTTTCATAAATTATTCATGAAGAATTTTCTTGCGTTTCATTAGGAACTTTTTTAATAGTTCATTATTTCTTTATTGGTTTGATAGATTATCAATTCACTTGATTGTTAATTGTGTTCATGGCTCAGAAGTTTTAAGTTACAAGTCACACCGGCATATCATGTTATATATAAGAAGCGTTATCCGTCGCTCACATAACCTTATCTTCATTTAGGGTGTAATTTTTCTATACAAGGAAGAGAGGCATGATGAAAGGAAGGGGCAGTGACGAATCGAATGACATTTTTTTTGGTTGAATATTATTTCAGAGGTAATATAAATATAACATATTTTGACCATAAAACCTAAATGCACTCATGAGTCATGGTATATCAAGTAGTTTAATGAATCTTTCAGAACAAATTTAAATATTATTTCATTTAATATTTTCTTTGCACTTTGTGGTCATAAAAATAAATTTGTACTCCTAGGATATTCAATATTTCATTTGAAAAATTTCCCGTTTCAATGTGACTGTTTCTCTATCACTTATATTATAATACCTTGAGAGGAAAGGGATAATCTGTCGTCTGTTGACTTCTTCCTTCCTTTCTGAGGCTCTGAGGATCACATACGAAGAAAAACTTCATATATAAGTGAACGAAATCAAAGAGTCATTATCTCAGCGCAGTCTCCCCTGTAAATGGAAGTCTCTCGATCAAAGAAATAGTTTTATGAGGGACTGGAATATTTATAACACACTAATCGAACTAAATTGACCGAAGTGCTTTGACTGGTTTCACTACATTCTGAAACAAACTGGACTTGGCGATGAGTCCCCAGCGTCTTCGGCTCAATAAATACGAGTTTATAACAACCGTGGCATGAATATTGGAAACTACTGCGGGAGCCAGAAATTTAATGTCATGTATCAGAACCTTGTTTATTTTCCAAGACAAGCAAACATTGTATTCTTCCATAGTATCCTTAATATTTGTTTCGGCTGTAGCAGTCCCAGGCCACGATGGATCGCCGCCAGTTCAGTACACAGCGATTTTCCTGAAATGTGTTCAACTTCTACGTCCATTAAATGATCAGTCCTTGTGAGAGAGCACTTCCTGTGGCTGGCCCGGGCTGAGATGAACTGATTACTGATATTCTCCTAGATTATGTTTGGCGGCAAGCTTGCTGATGTGGTAGGTGTGATACGAGCAACTCGAAAAATATTTTTCACCATCATAATTGAGCCACTCAAGGTTATGGTAAGTCTTACCACACCTTTGTCCAGAAGCACTGCTCAGGCAATCGATTCATTCGCGAGTAACGATGCGCTGACAAGCTATTCAGAAAATGCACGCTACCTAACTCTTTGGTTTTATACGAGTATATTTTGATAATATGAAGCAGAAGAAAATGAAATAGAATTTATTTTCAACTTCAACCAATAATGAAATTAGACTCCTTTAATTACAAACAATACGACAGAAGACGGCCACACAATAGCTTTTCAAAAAGCAATCCTACAGAGAGACTACCATCAACTAGACTTTTAGTATGGTTTAGTTTTATTGTCACAACTTTTTGACAGGTAGGATCGCAGTGGCAAGCTACAGCTAGCAACAGTTGAATCACCACAGAGTCTAATTTACCGCTTACAAGTACAAAAAAAATGCATACCAGAAATGCATTCATTTGGGTTCAACTGAGGATAACGATCTCAAAGCGAACGATATATGACAATAGAGATCGTAACAATATCGTTTGTATATTAATCATCTCTATTAGAAGGTAAGACTACTATGTCGCTGAAGGTAGTGACAAACTATATAAACGTGCGTATGAACATTTATAAGGCATGTGTCACGAGGTCAATTAAGTATAAGGCGCGTTTCATGAAATCCATCATGGTGGTTCGTGAGCATCAAACCCTCACGAAATATGGAAAACTGGCATTGAAAAATGTTCAGCATACAAACGCTGACTCAGTCGACGTAACACCAGAAATAATAAAATTCATATTCAATAAAATCAGTAGAAAGAAGTTATCCAGCGCCAGAGATTCATTCAACTTGATTCAACTAAGTAGGTATAACTACAACAAAGGAACTGCCTAAATTATTCATCGCAACGATGCAAACAAGTGAAAGACAAAGATTAACAATATTTATTTAATCTACACTATTGCAATTAAACTATGTAAATGAACAACTGGACAAAAATACAGTTTTGTAGCTCCATATAAATCGTTATTTTTTTATAAAAATGTTAACCGATCATTTAGTTGCGAGATGACTGAAGCAACATAAGGTTTGGGAACTGTTTTGCGTCTCAATGGTCTAAAAATACCGTATAAGGAGAGATACCCTTTATCGCATGGATTTTGCTTGATAATATGCACCTTTACTTAATTACAGTTATCAAGCATAAGATTAATAGCAGCTACGGGGAACAGTTTAGTTCATAATTATAGTTACTCGTTAATGCCCAACAGTTAGTAACAACTTCAAGGATGAAGCAAGAGGATAACGTCAGAGCTTTCAAAACCGAAAAAAAGTCTGGAGTAAGGACTTGCAGGAGGACGTAGTCAAGACTGCCAAGAAGGCATAGTCAAGACTGCCAAGAAGGCATAGTCAAGACTGACAAGAAGGCATAGTCAAGACTGCCAAGAGGACGTAGTCAAGATTGCAAACAAGGCATAGTCAAGACTGCCAAGAAGGCGTAGTCAAGACTGCCCAGAGGACATAGTCAAGATTGCAAAGAAGGCGTAGTCAAGACTGTCAAAAAGGCATAGTCAAGACTGTCAAAAAGGCATAGTCAAGACTGTCAAAAAGGCGTGGTCAAGACTGCCAAGTGGGGCGTGCTAGCAATTGCCGTTCCCTCTCAGCCATTCTTGCCCGTTCCCTTGACTGAGCTTCAGATCGTCTGGCTGACTCTTGCACTAATCGTTGGGCTCTGGCCTGGAAAAATCAATAGACACCAATTAATATTAATATATTGGATGCATACTTTAATTCTACTTGACAAATGAAGTATGATAAATACATCTTGTTGGTCAGCTGTAATATATTGACTTAGAGAGACTCACTTGCAACTTGTTGGTCCTGTATGATATGTGCTGCATGTCGGACACCAGGTTCTTGGCGATATGTGTGTACTTGGTCAATTCTTCAAACTGAAACATTGGTAGCAAGTTGCAAATAGCAATTTTGTCATCATCGTAATAATTCAATTTACTGGCTCTAAAAAAAATATATTGCACATGATGTCGGAAAGGTTACGAACTTTCGTGCATATGTCTTCATTTTTGTCCATCCCTTTCTGTAAACCATTGAGAACGATTTAATCTTCACCCTTTATTAAATTAACGTCATTATTGTCAATTCTAATAATTTTATTCGAAGCAGTCATTTAGCGACCGGGCTGGTTGCGACTTTTCTCAATGCTTCCGAGGCTTTCCCTGCAGCCAAGCAGAAATCTTGCATCTCTGGCCGGCAACAGACAGATTCACTTCAACCTTCACACATCCAACTCGTCCCTGTGTCGTCTCGCGTGGTCTCAGCCTCTAGCCGGTTCTTCAACTGGACAACTCCTCACCTGCACCCAGAAGGCCTGTTCTTCCCACAAAGAAGCCGTAAGTCGTTAAATTAGCCTGTGCCGCTCTTAATGACTGCTTCTGGAAGAGCCTTTTAATTCTAAAACGATTAACCCTTAATCTCATAGGATGAATGTCGTGACGAGATGTTCATGATAACGGAGGGGGGCACAACTTTCCTCTACCTCTCCAGTGGACGGGCGACCACGGCTTTCGTTTCTTTTTGAATAAATTCAAATTTGAATCTGGAGTATGTTGTTTACCTGTCCTCGCCATGAACTTATTTTCGTCACATGATTAAGTTGTCAAATGGATGTAATAATAATTAAAGAATAATTATGGTATATATTAAAAATAAATGCTGCTCAATAGTTTCAATGCATCTTGCAAATAAAAAATTTTGCAAAAATTATTTCATCATAAATGGAATTATGGACATCAGCTTAACATATACACCTACAACTCAGACAAAAATTTTGCAATGCTTACTCAGCTTGATAAGCACATCTGAATGACATAGAAGCATCAAATTTTACAATATGATTAGATATAAGTCATGTAAAGCATTATCTTTTATATGTAAAGAATTACCAGAATCATGATAAATACTGCAAAATGGTCATATAAAACATGTAAAATAGTAATATAAACTATACAAAATAGTCAATATAAAACATACTTTTGACTGGAAATTGCATGTGGTTATTGTTGTTGTTAAGGCAGATGCTTCCAAGTTAACTTTCTCCAACCCAGCCAGCTGGTGGTGTCTGAGATCAATAAGCAACAAAAAATTCATGTCAACAGAAATTACTATCTTCACTTAACAGATGAGGAAGTGAGGTTAGTTAGCCAAGAAAAAAACACAAGATGCAAATTGCATTGGACTGCAGTTGTTACGGTACCTAAAATAACATCTTGAAAATAAAATTTAAAGTAACAGAATTTTTATAGTTTCACTTACATTTATTACTTTTACAAAAGAACATGATACTCTAATTTCAATCAGTTTATATTTTTAATGAAAGTCAGATAGAAGATGCTGTTTGAGTCTATGTGGGTACAGTTGAGTACTATGGGAGGATGACAACTGACAAGTCATGGATAGAAAGCTTTGAATAATAACATCATAATTATAACCAGTATTATATATGTTCAAGTGTAGCAGCTAGAAAAGTATAGTAATTGCTCAGAGATGACTTATATATTATTGACATTAGGCTTCTAGCTACACAATCTTACAAAAAAGCCATGACTTCTTTTTGAAGGAGCTGTACATCAGAGCTGCTGGCAGCAATGAGCTGGGACAATTCTTCAAGGTTTATGTCCTTTTCATTCAAATTTTCTGCAAAATATCTCATCCATTAAAGTCAAACAAAATGAATCTCACACATAAAGTTCAAGTCTTCAATGTACATATATATAACTATCTAAGAAAACTGCATCTAATATAAATTAATAAATTCCAATTCCTAAATCTTTTAACATTTGCAAAAATATGAATACTTTTATCACAAATAGTCACAAAAATTCTAGTAAAATTGCAACAACCTAAAATATTCTTTGTCAAAAAAATTGAGATCAGTAATCAGTTTCAGTTAGACCTATATAGACTCCTGTGTCCTGAAATAATTTTCTCGAAACAAACCGGAACAGACGAAACGAGACGAGAAAATTCCGGGAAAGAAATAATGGGACAGAGGGTAAAATTTGTCCCGGAATAAATGTATGAACCGAGACAAGACTTCTGTCACGGACTTTAAAACTTGTGTCTCGGTAAATTATGAACCGGGACGAGACAGACAGATTTGAAACGAGACATAATGAGACAAGACGAGATTTGTCTGAATTATTTACGACAAAACAAGTTTTTCAATTACGATACGAATCATTTCAAAAACATGGGTTGAAGAATACCAAGTTAGACCTTTCTTGCTAATAGGGCTATAGACAGTTACCAGTTAAATATAGTTAATTTGCAGATTTAGCAAAATATGTCTGACTAACTGACATGACAGTTAATTAGTGGTCCGACAAACACTGCAAACCTGTCAATGTATGGCTGAGTATTGAGTAAAAAATGTTACTCTTAAGTCTTAACTAAGGCTTCAATGGCATTTTATGGGAACTGTATGAATACTAGTCAAGTTCATTATGCATTCAGAACAAGTTCAGGCGCCATGGAGCCCTTATAGGGAGTAGGGACACAGTGTCTAGAATAGTAGGCCAATTAGTAAACAGTGGAGTGGAGTCCTGGTAAGATATTCCTAATAATACTAAAGCTAGTTTTATATTATCTCTGCCAATAGTTAAATTTTGTGCTACACCTCCAGGAAATTTTCACAGTTGCACTGTTACCTGAATTGTAATTAAATGCTTGTTTAACGTTATTTAGAAAGGATAAACATGGATATTTAGAGTTCTTTTTTGAAGATCAAACTATTATATTCTTCCAACTTGAGGGGAGCGTCTGCCCCAAATTTTATCTCTAGTTATTTATCGACGGATCGATTCAAAATTCGGTACACATGTGTAAAACGGAATTCTACAACTTTTCTGTTTGTGTGAATTTTTCAAAAAAAAAAGGAAAGAAAACCTGTAATTCATAGAAAACGAACAAAAAAGGGGTACTGTAGAAATATCTCTCTTCCTAGGATTTCCAAGCTACAACATTGAGACACATATCATTTGATGCGTAAAGACCGCATCTAAAACTGATGCAAATGGTTTTTTGATATTCTCATTTTAGTGGGTATGGGAGCATTTTTCATGAATTTTTCGTAAATTTTTTCATTTCATCCCCAACTTTTTCAACCCTTTTTGCAGAATAAAATCCAAACTATAACGAAATTAGAAAAAACGTCTGCATCATTAGTAGATCTTTTATTTGCTATTTGAATGGTATATCTCTCATTGATGTAGCTTCAAAACTCTAGGAGGAGATAGGTTTGCAGTGCCAATAAGTTAAATTTTCAGTAGAGCCCCAAAAAGTGGCACACGCCTCTAAATAGACATTCAATGGTGCTAGGTTGCAAGACTAGATGATACTGGAGCTTAATTTCTGTCAAGGCTGGTGCGAACGACTGCACGAGAACCATCCCATATGACTGCAGGCAGATAACTGAAGCACAGCGTGTTCAGACTAGCTATTTAAGTGTTCTACCTATAATTTTGGCCTATCTTAAATGTTAAAAAACCTCATTACCCCTAACCCTTTCGCGATCTGTCATGAACGCATAAATCAACATAAAGAGATGATTTTGCTACCGTTAGATGCGTCAGAATGTAAGCTTTAAGATGAGTAAAAAAACAAAAAAGTCAAAATTTTTTAATTTGGGGCAGGCGCTCTCCTTAAATTTTGTTGTATTTTTAAATGTTGTTGATATTTCTTTCCAGACTTTTTGTTGAAGGAGATTGATCAAGGCAAGATGGATGAATATTATCCTGTGATTGAGCTGTAGGCAAATTAAAGTCTGTCCAGACAGCCGATGTCACCAGCTACAGCTAGGATGGCCTCCTCCAGACCATCATAGAACACAATTATTGGAAAATAAATAATGTGCTTTTACATTTTTATTTGCCTGTCAAGAATAAGTACCATAATAAACCACAACATGTATTTGTAGCAAAAATTATTTCAATTGCCGAGTTCCAATCTGAATAGTAAAAGGATACGTCTCAAGTTATTATATAAATGTATGATGGTAAGCCAAAGTTTACACCACATAAATAATTGATTCGTCTCATTATTTGTCAATATGTCTTGTTAAAATGGCTATAAATTCCGGGAAATTTTAAGCTACCTATTTTAACCGGGATTTCTTGTCTCGTTGTTATGGGCTGTCACTCTTACTGCTGGAGAGTGGTGGTAACCTTGATCCCACTTGGGGAAGTAACGCTCCCCCAGTTCCGAGTTAATGTAGAGTTGTTTTTAGAATCTTGAAACTCATGGTAAACATCAATATTTGTGTTATCAGTGCTCTCCATCTCATTCTCTTTGCCTTTTTTGCAGACCATTATTTTATGTGTCAGTGGAGATTGATTAAAATTCCAAATCTCCTATCCACCAAAATATCGTACTCACACTATTGCCTGTGGTTGGTGAGTAGTTGCCAAGATATACCTTTTTTAATCACTGCTCATATACTCATTGATGAAGGTTGTGTTTTTGAGAATGCCATTATAGATGAGAAATATATTCATCTGTTATCCTGCTTGATAGTTTATTGTGTATATATGTTTCAAAGTTTGTATTGATGTTGTGTTTAATAAGTGTGTTAGGTGTTGATAATGTAAATATTTTACAGAAGCATCTTCAAGTACTTCAAATAAGCGACCCATGCCCCGTTTGTCTGGTTGTATGGTTGTACCATTTGCCTAGTTGTACAGTTGCTGGTTGTCCAGTTTAGGAGTTATATTGTTATTTGAGTATACGGTTAACAGTTTTCCAGTTACCCAGTTATTTGGCTAGGTTTTTTTATTTAGGGTTCCCTATCTTGTTTAAATTTAAAGTTCCTTAATAATTAAATCTTGTATTAGAATTAAATAAAGTTGAACAAAAAGAGAAAAACACCTGGAGGACAGGGAGGGCTATAAGGGGAGTTTGGAGGCCATCTTTTATTTAACCTAGATTTTAAAGAACCTTGAATACCTTCCCTCTCTTAACTAATAAACACGACCCATTACATTTTTGGCGCTCGAACAGGGACTTAGAGTTTTCCTTCCACTAGGTTTACTGGGAATTTAGTTGTTAGGACTTTGAAGTTAGATATGGCAAGTACACCGATCGGGGCATGGGGAGCTGTTGGGCTGGAGCGAGGAGCTGCAGCTATACTTGATGGTGGAGCACCGGTGCACCACCAAAATGGTTTCTCTTGTGCGCCACCCGGAGTGGAACCTGATGAGCTTTCTGATCCTCAATTGCGTCATCGAGAGGCACAACGCATCAGTCTCAGTGTTTCTGAGGATGCACATTTTGATGAAGGCCAGGAAATTGCTGAGACCAAGAGAGTTGGAGCAATCCCAAAGAAGTCTCAAGCCAGTGCTACAATGCGTCCAGCACTGAGGATTAACCAAGGACCAACTGAGTGTGACCTTCTGAGAGGTGCAGAAAACGTCACCATTAAGGAGGACTTGACTAGGGAGGATGATTTGATGTTCTTTGTGTGACTTCAGTCTTTCTTTCTACAAATGACAAGACATCGTGTTCGAGGTGATTTTCTAAATGGACTTACAATCCAGTTGGATGATTCTCTTCACTTTGATCGCATGAAGGAGATGTTCTTCCCACCATTTGAGGTAGGGATGAATGATCAACATACACATCTGAGAGCTATTAAATTTCATATCCGGCGTCTGAAGGAGAGATCACCTCTGCGTTTTGAGCTTCCATCTCCATCAGTCCAGCTGGATGAATACTCTTACTCTGTTTGGAGTAAACTTTTGCATGAAATGATGAATAGCCCCTATTGGCAGACTATTGACTGTCACTCTGATTTTCTTGTTGCTCTGCGGGATGAGAACAATAACCCAGCAACTTCAGCCACTAATGCAAGAAGCCGTGAAAGCAAGCTCGATCTAGTTGGCTCAGACCAATTGGAGATGCCTGCACGACAACCACGGCAGTTGCGTCCAACGGCATGTTCATCTCCTAAGCAGCATTCTGGGTTGCCGCGCGTGAACGTGGCAATTGAGGAAATTGTCATTGACTCATCTGACAGCTCTGAAGATGATGAAGATAACTCCATGCATCGAGCATCGCAAGCTGTACGGTTTCGAGTGGTGACTCCCCCAACATTTGATGTGGGAGGCTCATATAGCCTGCGCAAGTATCTAGAAATCTTTGAGAGATACTTTCATGCCAAGTTCCGTGGTGGAGAGAGGGAATATTCTATGGAGCTTGGTCGATTCCTTCAGGGAGAAGCCCTGAATGCTTACCATGCATTTGGTGGTTGTGAGAAGCGCTATTCTGTGCTGAAGGGAAAATTACTAGAATGGTATTGGACCAGAGAAGTTCATGGATCTTGCTGATGGAAGAACGAAATGAAAACCATGAAGTTCCAGACTGGAGAGACATTTAAACTGTTTGCAATGAGAGTCCAGGAGGTGGCACAGAAGGCCTACCCTGGTGATGACTGTGAGTGTTTCAAAAAGATGATGGAAGTGTATCACCGTGCTACCCCAACATGGTTTAATGCAAAGTTAAAGCAAAAACAGGACATGAAGGAGATGATGGGACTTGGAAGTAGGCTCAATTGGGGAGACATTCTCAAGTTGGCTGAGAAGGAGGACAAGGACAACCATGATCATAAGATCAAAGATGAGTCTCAAAGCAAATGTACCAAT